CCAAGCTCTGTCTTCCCAGGTGTCTCATGAAGATTCCTACTTTGCTGCCACTGGGAAGTGTGTCCTTAAAAGGCCACAGTAAAGTTGCTGTGGAAATTACCAGCAAGACACCTAAGCAAATTACAAATACGAGTGTCCTACAAGAAAAATAACCTGCACAATGCTTTTAACCCGTGATGAGATTTCATAGTGTCCAGTTTGTGCATGACAGTTAACTGCTGAAGGCAGAAGCTGTTCTGCTTACTGAGCTCACTGCCCACTTCTGAAACAGCTCGGTGGAAGCTGATCATCCTGCCCTGGCAGCGTAGGGCTGCACAGGAACGTGCTGAATCACAACATTATGGGCTCTGGAGCAAAGAGACCACCAATGTAAATAGTCTCTTGCAATCTGCTTCGTGCTGTGCGTGCTTGCTCTCAAAATGAAGATTGCTGAGCCTTCTGCGAGCAGAGACCTGGGGAACACGGCGCAGCTTCTGTCTGCCTTGGCCCACTCTCTCAGCCACGCACAGCTGGCTGAGGTTTGGAGAGCCGTGTGTTTGTACACCTCTGAATTCTGCAGGGATTCAGACTTGCGGGAGGAATTTGTAGGTCCGTGGCTGGGATGTGTTTGCTGCTCACTAGGACACCTTAGTGCACACCAAGTACCTAATTGTCAGTGCTTTCCAGAATTGTGGCTCCCCAAAGGGGAGGAAACAGTCAAATACCTGGAGTGCTGCTTCAGAGCTGGTAGGAATGACTTGCACAAACCAAGCTTAGCAAAGGTAGGAGGGCTCACAGTGTTGACAGCTGGATTTTTCAGATAGCCTTGAAAGCCTTGGTCCTTTGAGGACCAGGGAGTTCAGTTTCCAGATCTAATAGAATTAGGCACTGTCTGTCCTAGACAAATAACACTCTCTAAGCAAAATGTTACTGATAAACTGTCAGGTTAAATGATATATCCCTGCCCTGTTTGTCTTCTGTGTGCAAGTGTTGGAAATGAAGGATGTAGTTGGTTGCCTGAGGTCATGGAGACCTGCAAAGTTTGGTTTAGGCTGAGGGAAAGACTTCTATTGTTAAAATGCTAACTTAATTTAAATGTTTCATTTTAAAGCTGATAAGCATCCTGAGAAAGAAATCTGAGGACTGGAAGTGATTTACTCTATTCAAAATTCATAGATTGTGAAATAAATATCTAATCTGAAGAAGTCCTGTTATTTTAAATGCACTGGAAATATGATGTGCTTCTCATCTTGCATCCTCTTGATGGTTTTGTCAGTAACTCTCCTGCTATAAGCATCATTTGAGTTTACTGATACAGTAAATCACACATTGAAAATGTAATTAAAGGCTCCTAAATGCAGACTCTTTATTAGTATTTTATTTGGGATCGATGTGCCTCCTACAGCAGAGTTGGTTATACAGTGTTGTGAGTGAATGTGCTGTAGTTGGTGTGTCTTGTAGGACTTTGCTGAATTCTGATTCCTCCATTTTGCGTGGTTTGTCTTCAACTTCCGTGGAGAAAAAGTCTTTATATTCCTCAGGGTTTCAACTCCTTTTCCTGACCAGTGTGGAACATGGTGTTTGCTTTGCTTTGTAGGGTTTTTTTTTCCAATTACAAAAAGCTGAATTTCTTCTAGCGTTCCCCATTCCTGTAGTCTGGAAACAAACCCCAAGGAATAGTGGTGTCCTTTTACACCTTCTCCCACCACCACGTGCTCCTTCTCACATCTTTCAAGGCACTGGGTTAATCTTGCTGCCTGCCCTGCAGCTGGGCCTGGAGCAGCATTCCTGATGGGGAGCTGTGCTGGCTAAATTCAAGGAATTGTGCTTCCTGGGAGGTTTCCCCTGCTTGGTGCTGACCCAGTGTGGTACAATGGCATGCTCCAGTGCACCGAGTAATGATCTCTGCTAGTGGCACAGAGACCAGCTTGTGTTGACTCTGCAGCCCTGCCTTGGGTGGAGGGGAGGGAGCGGTTGGGGCTGGCCAAGCCTGCAATGAATTATTCATCCAAGTATAAAGGGCAGATTGAAAGCCTTTGGCTTTTATGGGATGGAAGGCAGTAGTTCCATTTCAGCTCAATGGAGCACTATGCAACCTCCATAAAACTGCTCTGAGCTTTCAGTGTTACGCTGCTTCTCAGAGGTGCTTGCATGGGATGTGGCAATGAAATGCTCTTTTGTTCATCACAAAACTTTCTGCTTGTGCTATCTTTCTTTTATGATTCTGTTCTTAGTTTTTGGGCAGTGATTTGAAACCTCAAGCTACAGCTGCCTCAGAGTCCCCAGCTGTACACCTGGTTCTTTCTCTGGGGAGAGAAGGGCAGCGTTGTTTTCTTAGGAGCAGATCATTAGGAGAGACAGCACAGATTTCTGATGGGTGTTGAAGGCCTACTTTAGCACCAAGATAGGGGAAAGATGGAAAATTCCTCTCATCTCTTTGGATGGATTGGTATGGGTTTCTTTGTTTTGTTGTTGGGTTTTGGTTTGGTTTTAAGGTATTAATTACAACAGTAATAGAAGACCAGGTAAGCTCACTGTTGCCATTTAGTAAAGGCAGATACAGGTAACATTTACGGTGCTGTTACATCCACTTGGGTGGTCCTTGCATGATGTTAAGTAAGTTACACTTGCTCTTAAGACTAATCCTTTGGTAGAAAAAAAGCAACCTCTATTGACAGTAGTTTGTAGTTTTCTAGAAAAGCTTTTCCAAGCCCTTTTTCTGATGCAAAGTGCTTTAGAAATGCCAGCTCTTTACTTTGGATAAGTGTCCCCTTCACTGTGTGAGGTGAACTCCTTTGCATCTTCTGCAATGTGAGGTGAATGTGAGTTTGCTTCCTGGGTGAAAAATGAGGGCTTTGTCCTGCTTGCATTTGGGTTTTTGGGAGCAGATTCTGGATTGTAGTGAACATGGAGGCACCATCAGTCTTTAGAAATGGGTTTTCAGGCTATGCTGGAAGCCTTGGACTGCATGATCTGTAACAGATGAGAATACTTATTAAAAAATACTTAATCTTATTCTACTTATGGGACTTCAATAAGACTTTTCCAGTAATTCTTATGATGTCTGTATTCCCCTAGCTTCTATATGTTATTTTCCTTTCACGGTGCCTTGGTTCAAGGCCTACCTTTTTGTGTGGGAAACCTGAAACTTCTGGAACTTCTGAACTTACTCACTTTACTTGGCTTTTCTTCCTGAGGAGGGAGAGAGAAGGGAAAGGAGTGGTTGGCAGGGTATTTTAGCTCAGACTTCTCCCTGTGCATTGCAGGAACATTCAGGACTGATTGTTCTGTGTGCTCTCCTGGGGCTCTAGATTTTTTTTTTCCCCCCCCAACCAGGTAGTTATTGTCATAAATCCTGAGAAGTTGGCATGGATAGGGTTGACTGCCCCTGATCTCCCTAGCCAGGCTGAGCCTATGGATGAACACGTGCTCAGGTGATGGAGTATTGTGTCCCTCAGGAGGTGACAAAGTGACATGGTGCATTCTGATGGATGTGTTGGTTTCCTCTGTTCCAGAGGCTTCTCACGTTTGACATTTTCAGAAACATTAAATCCACTTTTATTAAAGCAAACCCCGTCTTTTATAACTGACACCACCTGGTGTCAGGTACAGCAGGTGTACTGGTCATTAAGGAGCTTATTTATAACCATGAACTTGTAACTGAAATCGGTTGGCTCTGCTGGGGGTGTTAACACACCGGCTTCTTGTCTGGGGCTTCATTTCAGTCATTGAATACAACTGTTGTGTGAGGTGGGCGGCCTTGAGAGCTGTATCTCTTAAATTAAAGGCTTCTTGCCTTGTTTAGAAGGTCAAACTTGCATTCTTTTGAATTTCAGGAGGCCAACAACACTTCTTGCCTTTTTTTTCCCCCTAAACGGTGTTAGACACATCAAAAAGCTATACCATTCCTGCAATATTTCATCTTCCTGTTTATGGCAGGTAGCAAGTGCAGTGAAATCAGAACCCAGACGTTCTCTGACTCCTTTGAAATGTCTGCTGGTGCAGAGAAATGTTGTGAACACTCTGGACACAGAGGCTGACGGTGATGCCTTCAGGGGAGGAGAGGAAGGGACCGCGGCGTCTGATACAGACTTCCTGAATTCCAAAGCTTATTCTTCTAAAAGATACCCTCTCACCAGTCTGCAGATGTGCTGCATTGCATTATGCTGGTTGTGGTATGCACAAATGAGAGCTCTGGGTTTGGGCTGCCTGTTTGAGAGAATGGGGAAGAGGAAAACTGCATTAGCAGTTGTAATTCCTTATGGCGATAGCAGCCGATTCCCCATGTGCAGTGGAAAGCACTGGACTCTGGGGACAGCACTTAGCAGATCATCCTGAGGCAGTGGCATGGCTTTGTACCCTTTACATAAACCCTGGAACTTGGTCTCCTGAAAAGTAATTCAGGGATGCAAAGAAACGTGGTTAATCTGTTGTCAGGACCTGGCCGCGTTTGGGTCGTGGTGCATCTTCTGAATGGGGGGAAATAAAGGGGCAGATGTTGGTGCTTGGTATAAGGAGTTTATCTTGCAGTGTAAGGAGAAATCATGAATGATCAGAAATCTAGATCTAAGGCCTCAGTGTTCCATCCATCCCCCAGTAGACTAGGAGGAGAAATGGTGATAAGTACTAAAGAAAATAGGAAGGAACTTCAGCCCTGGCTGACAGGTGAATACAGACACTGCCTGAGTCTGCTCCCAGATATGGGGCTGTCCACACTCAACACCAGTTTGGTTTCTTTGGCTCCCAAAATATCTTTTGTGGGAAGCTGTGTCCTCTTATTTGGTCTTTTATTGTTAATTCTTTATCATGTTCCCAGGAGAAGGAGAGAGATTAATATCCATTGCTTCCTAAAAACCATGGATAGTTCTTTCCTCAGTGGGTCTCTGCCAGTTGTCTGGCCTCACCAATTTGTTCAGAGCTTCCTCCAGACACTTGGTGGTGAGGTGTGAGGGTGGGGAGGCCCTGGCACAGGTTGCCCAGAGAAGCTGTGGCTGCCCCTGGATCCCTGGAAGTGTCCAAGGCCAGGTTGGACGGGGCTTGGAGCGACCTGGGCTAGTGGAAGGTGTCCCTGCCCAGGGCAGGGGTGTTGGAACTGGATTACCTTTAAGGTCACTGCCAACCCAAATCATTCCATGACTCCGTGTGTGACAAGTGGATTCTTGCTGTGTACCCCTGAACAGGGGCTGGAAGTGACAGGAGCAGAAGGTGCCCAGGTGGCCAGTACAGTACAGTCTTTCTTACCTTATTTGTTCAGTTGTTATGAAGTGTGCTGTTGTAGGAGAGCCAGGCTGTAGCTTTTCACAGCCACGGTGTCCCTGTTGCATGCAATTACTGCCTATATTGTATTGCCTTGCTTTATGTGTGGGCCAGTGGTGAAAGCAAAAGGCAAGGCAGTCCTGGATTTAGCCAGGCTGAATTATGCACAGTTCAGAACACAGATGGATCTTAAGAAGGTCACGGGCTTAACAATGCAGGCTTTCCAGGCTGCTCTTTATTCTCTGCCGCCTTCCATTTGGCTTTTATTAAGGGATCAAAGAGGTTTCGAAGGAAGATGATGATTAAAGTTTGAAAGCTGATGCATTTAGAAAGAGCCTTATTTTCAGCTGCAGTGTCCAGCTTCAGAAATGCATGTCTTCTGGTGGGGGAGATCTCCAGGGCACGTGAAGTGAGGGTGGTTTTTCCCAGTGCGTAGCTGACCTGTTCCCAGAGCATAACCTCTTCCAGCAATCCCAGACAAGCCCTCTGGATGAAGGAGGAAGCTTCCTGTGGAAATCTCGGGGTGGGGGTTTTTATTGTTCTGCCCCTGGGCACCACTCTCCTTCAGTACTTGTTCCCCAGTCGTGCCAGGAATCCAAAGACTCCAGGGATCAGTGTTGTCCTCAGCTCTGAACCGAAAAGTAACTGCCATATTCCTCTTAAAATAAGCTAAACAGGAAAAATTGCATAACTTTGTCTTGAATTTTTAAAGAAGACGTTATTTATGCTGACTGTCCTGAAGAACATTAGTCTTGTGGCTTCTAGTCTAGACAGGGAGGTAGAGAAACCTGGCTTGGGCTCCTGGGTCTTCCACAGTCTGGCAGAGAACTGTGGCACAGAGACTGGAAGACTTGCCTCTACAGATGGATCAAGTCTTAATTATTTAGTTGTCTAATTGAACACCAGGTGTTATTTAATTAGATTTTTTATTTTAGCCTAATGAAAACAGGGCCATTAGAGATTGCCATGCTAGGATTGTGATAGTTGAAGGATGGCTGAGGCACGTGCACAGGAATGCACCTAAGGAAAGCTTAGAAGCGTGTGTTGTGCCATTTCCAGCAGAAACGTATGAAACCGGTATATTTGTATAAGATTCTCTGTTATTTTCTTTTGTTTCTTGATTATATGAATTTGGAATTTTATTAGAACAGATACGATGTTTTCTTTAGTGGAGACAAGTTTGCAGAATAAAACTAGGCTGAATAAAAATAGCAATTGTGCACTTCTGCCTTTGTGCCATCACAGGTGGTTGTGGACTCCTTTCTAACTGAATTTTTTTCTTTTTCTAGGTTAAGGGAAATACTGAAAGAAGCCTCTCTCCCCCCAGAGGATCCTGACACCCCGCTGTCAGTTACCTTGGCCATAGTTGAGACAGATTCCACAATAGTCTATTATAAACTGACTGATGGCTTTGTAATGCCAGACCCTCCTGATGATACTGAAGATGGGGACAATAAACAGTGGAGAAAGAAAAGAAAGAAGCTTTTCAAATGATTAGGACAAAACCAAAGACTTCTCTTGAACTCCTGTGCTCAAACCTAAACAAATCCAGGAAGCGATGTGTGTAAATGAGGGCTGTGCTACCCTCTGCCCTGGCAAATCAAGGATCTGGGCAGGGAGAACAGAGGCTTGTGCAGCTGCACTGTAATGAAATGCCATTTGGGGTATGAAATGGGTCATGCTTTGAGACAGATTGATCCTGACTAATAAATGTACTTGTGAGGTGTTTCGAGAGCTGGGCTCCTTTCTATCTGGTCAGGTATACAGCAGAATAAACACATCCTTTCCCATACTGTAATTACTGCTTACAGGTAAATCTGGAGGGTTTCTGGCAGGAATACTGATACCAAGTGAAGAGCTTTGTAGTTTACAATGTCTTTGTTCTTAGCACTGTCAGAAGCACTCATGCTGCCCCCCAGGCTACATTTCTGAACGCTTGCTTGCTTTCCTCTGCTTTTGGAGAAAAAGCTATTCCACAGAAATACTTTAATTTTTTTTCCCTGCAGAGGGAAAACTGATTATAGCAACACCACAGGCAACTAAAACACCAAAGTATGTCACCTTCTGTGGTATAAGTGAACACTAGTTATCTGCTTCATGCACCAAGCAGGTTTCTAAGCCCATTGTCATTCCTAGGATTTATTATTTTTTTGGACATAGCTTTGCATGTTGGAACTGGCTGCCCAAGAGATGCTTCAGCTAGGAGGAAAAAAATTACTTTTAGTTTCTTCTACAGGAATTTTCCACCTCTTTCACATAGAGATCTTCTTCAGGTTAAACTTAGAGTTCCTTGGCAATCAAATAGCATCCTAGGAGCAGCTTCTTGAGCACAAAAATGTCCATGTGACAGCTGTGAGGCCAAGGATCACACATTCAGAATGTGAAGCACAAGAGCTCTTTTTCTCCGTGGGTATAAGAATGGGAGTGAATCCAAAAAACCAAGCTGGAAATGAAAGACTGTTTACTATCCTTGTGACTAGGGTGGATGTTTCTATAGTTGTGGAGTTTGAACCTGCTTTGGCCAAATGTGCTGAGAGACAGAATGATCCCACAGGGGGAGCCTGGGGCAGGACGGCCCTTGCACCCTTGGAGGAGAAGGGTCACTGTCACCTGGAGCTCTGCATGGCACCTTTTCCCTCATACAGCAAGGGAGGACTGTGGGTCTGAGAGCTTTAGTCATGGAGGAAGGCAAAGAAAAATTCTCTCTCTCTGTGTTGCTCCTCTCATGGAGGAAAACCATCATTTTATTTTGGTCCAATGCCATACTGCCTTAAAAGGGTACTTGTGTGCTGACTCCTGACGTGCTGCGTGTGCCCTTCACATCGATATTTCATGTGCTCTGTGGCTTATTCCATAAAGTAGGTCTTGCAATTCACTAGGCTACATCCCACCAGGTAAATTGTCCTTGTTAGAAGCTGTTAAGTACCTCAGCCCTGCTGTGAGCATGTGCTGGAAAAGAGCTGGGTTTGTGTGACAGAGGCTTTAACAAATGGTGCACATGGCAGAATTTATATCTAAGTGACACGTACTTAACCCCAAAAACAAACTATTTTGCATTTGCTTCAATTTCTGGGAAATGCCGCCACTTTGCAGTTTGCTGTATGACTGATGCTTGGCTTTACCCTTCATTTTATTATTTCCATGCACAGAAAGAGGAGCATAACTCAAGCTTCCTTTTCTATCCTCTGAAAAACTGCTGATCCAGGCTCCAGAAGCTGAGTTGGGGAAACTGTGTCCAGAGGCTTTGATTTCTGTTTCTTCTTGTGTCCCACTGAGAAATGATTACATGGGCCTTTTTCCAGCCTCTCTAGATTGTGGTGGTTCTTTTTTTCTGAGGGAAAAAAGCATAGAAGAATAAATAATATCACAGCACTGTTTGTCCCATAGGTATTACAATGTAAACATGGGGATGTTAAATAAGCTCGGAGCCAGCTGTGCTGGTCCTTTACATGCCACTGAAGTATTTCTCTCTGTCAAGTCAACAACACAGACTGGAGCCTCTGGTCTTCCAGGCACTGAATAAAGATGGGGAGACAATCCCCTTAGAAGTGTATCAGTTCAGAGCAGTTGTGCATTAACGTTCCTGAATCCGTAGTATCTTGGTGCTGTGTCTGACTCTGCTTTAAGTGTTTGTGAGACATCCATGGAAGCATGAGCCATGACAGCTGGCCTTCACACCACTGCAAAGCCAGCTCTTATTTCAGCCCAAAACATTTTACAGGCTACATCTTGCCATCTTTTAAAGGGTTTTTTTTTAAGTTTTATTTGCTGAGCACAGCTTGATTTGTTTTACTTGATCCCCCTTGACCAACAGCAGGTGACTTAAAATCTTGATAGTATCATTTTCTGTTAGATGATTGTTTCAAGCTTTTTCTCTCTTCAGAAGGATGTTTGCATTGAAGCTTCCCCACCGAGTTAAGAATGACAGAAAAGCAAAGTGATGTTTTGGTGTGGGTTTGGCGGCGAGACTCGATGCCTGGTTACGTAAGTCAGCGCCCGCCTTTGCTCATGCAAACTGTGCTTCCTTGAGGCATGGCTGGCACCATCCCCCCAACTCTTGCATTCAGCCTGACTGTTTGCAATGCACACAGAACGTTTGATGTGAAAAAACACCAGTGGAGAAGCAGGGAGCCTTGTCAGATGCATGAAGGGGAGCTGCAGTTGCAAGAAACACGCTGCAGCGGAAGGGAGCAACTCCCACTTCCCTGTGTCCACGCTGGGCGAGCAGGAGCACGTGTGGCTGTTTGGGCAGCAGCTCCTCTTGTGGGAGTCCCCTTTGTGGCTCTGTGTGTGCTCTGTGTCAGCTCAGTGTGGAGGGACACTGGAGCTTTGGCCTGTCATCTATCCCTGCTTCCCAGGGCACGCAAGGGTGGCAGAGATGGCAAGCAGTGATGAGGTGAAGGTGTGTTGCTTCCACATCCTAAGCAGGATCCCATCCCCTAAAAAATGGCCCTCAGCATCCCTACAAAACACTCCTGTTACTCAGAAATCACTAGAAGAAATATATGGGCTCTTGCAACCCGTTCTCAAGCGAAACAAGGTTTTCCTCAGGATCTTTTGCTTGGACACAACGTTGGAATATTAATAACATTACTAAAGCCAAGCAATCTTCATCTTTTTTTTCTGGGTCAGCAAACCAACAAAGTTTATTTGTTTAATTTAAAACTTTTCTTTTCTCTAAAAAAGAATCCATGTGAATTTACTGATCATCCTACCAGTATTGCAGATCTGTAGGAGTTAGATGTATCATAAGTTGTCCCAGTAGTTTCCAGGAAACTAAATGCTATTAGCTAGCCTGCAAGTCCTGTTTTCTATAAATGGGCTCATTGTTAACCTCCTCTAGTCTTCCAGGGACCAGTGATAGGACCCAAGGGAATGGCATGAAACTGCCAGGGGAGGTTTGGGTTGGATCTCAGGAAAAGGTTCTTCCCCCAGAGGGTGGTTGGCACTGACCAGGCTCCCCAGGGCAGTGGGCACAGCCCCAAGGCTACCAGAGCTCCAGGAGCGTTTGGACAATGCTCTCAGGGACAGGGTGGGATTGTTGGGGTGTCTGTGCAAGGCTAGAAGTTGGTCTTGATGATCCTTGTGGGTCCCTTCCAGGATATTCTCAGGATATAATTCAGGATATTCTATAATTCTAAAAACAGCTGCAGCTGCACCTCATATTTCAGAGTACCCCAGGGAACTGATGGCTTCTCCGTTTCTTTCCCTCATTTCTCAGAAGCTCCCACCTAGGTTGGCACCATAAGGCCAAGGAACCCGGACTCACTGCCTTCAGCAAATCAGACTGACAGTCCATTTGCCAGCAGAATTAATGAGCACTCTGACTCCTGATTAGTTACACACAGCGTGCTGTTTTCAAAGCACCTGACTGACATAATTTATTGCCCTGACAATTTATTGTCTCATTAATCATTCTTTGCATCCCCACCTAGCTACAAGCTTCTCCTCATGTTTCTTGTCTGGCCTTCCAGACAAGTTTGCCAATCCGGAATGGCTCTGCTCATCTTTTTCATGGCTTTTTTTTTTTTCTCCTCTGTCATTCCTCTAGTCATCTCATTAGCAAATTTTTTACTATTGCTTGCTGCCCTCTTGGCCTGTGTTTCACACATAGCTCCACATCCCTTCATTACCCTCAAATTTATCTTTTCATGCTATCTGGGAGGTCTCCTTTCTTTCCAACCTTCCTGTCTTCAGCTGAGGTGCCTGGATGATCCGTGAAGAGCCATCTACGCCTTTCTCTGTCCTAATCCAGCTACCAACTGGTCCTCTTAATTTCACCAGACCAATCCCGTTTACCGCCAAAAATTTGGGTAAAATCTGAAGCAAGGTCTTGTGAGCCCTCTACCAATATCCAGCCTGCTCAGAATCATAGAACGTCCTGAGTTGGAAGGGACCCACAGGGATCATCCAGTCCCACTCCTGGCCCTGCACAGACACCCCAACAATCCCACCCTGTCCCTCAGAGCATTGTCCAAACCCTCCTGGAGCTCTGGCAGCCTTGGGGCCGTGCCCACTGCCCTGGGGAGCCTGGGCAGTGCCCAACCACCCTCTGGGGGAAGAACCTTGTCCTGAGATCCAACCTGAGCCTGCCCTGGCACAGCTCCAGCCATTCCCTGGCTGCTGTCCCTGCTCAGCCAGAGCAGAGATCAAGAGGCTCCTGGAAAGCGCTGCCTTCGTGGTGCAGGGTGGCTGTCACCCCCCTTTCCACCCCCCCAAACACCTCAGTGAACCCCCAGCACGGCTGCTGGCCGGATAAATCCGCAGGTGGAGCTGGCTGGGGCCAGCCGGTGGTGCCTGCACCAGAGGGCGCTTAGACACTGCCGAGCCTTCCTGCTCTGGGAGAGCTGGAGCTCTGCAAAACTGCCCTCGCACTTTGTTCCTGGTTCTCATAAACAAAAGGAGGGGGGAAAAAAACCTGTCAGCAGCAAACCCCCGCGATGGCAATGCTCCATTCTTTAATGCTGGAATGATATTACTGAAACCTAGCTGAAGAGGGGCTTTGGACAAGGGATGGAGTGACAGGACAAGGGGGAATGGTTTCAAACTGAGAGAGAGTAGGTTTAGATTAGATATTAGGAAGGAATTGTTTACCGTGAGGGTGGGGAGGGCCTGGCACAGGTTGCCCAGAGAAGCTGTGGCTTCCCTGGAAGTGTCCAAGGCCAGGTTGGACGGGGCTTGGAGCAACCTGGGCTAGTGGAAGGTGTCCCTGCCCATGGTAGGGAGGTTGGCATGAAATGATCTTTAAGGTCCCCTCCAAACATTCTAGGATTTTATGATTCTCTGAAATTCCAGCCTGGGTTGAGGCTGAAGGAATGGTGGCTCAGTCTAAAAACAGGGCTCAGGGATGCTGGCAGGTTCAGTCCTGGATCTTCCCAAACAACCAAAGGGCCAAAGGGCTGTGGAAGTTGAGGCTGTCCTTGCCCTCCCACCTGAAATCCTGGAAACAGGTACACAGTGTCTGTTGAGGGGGATGCTGCGTGATGCTGTGAGGTGAAATCCTGTGCCCTGAGCTATACAGACCACAATTGCCCCGTTTTTCACATTAATTTTGAGTCCTGCAAGTGACTCTGCTGTAGTAGTTTTGTATTCTCACGGACAAATGCATTGCAAATCATAGAAAATAAATGGATCTGAAGTTTAGACTTTATCTTGGAGGTCTTTTCCAACCTTAATGATTCTCTGATTCCGTTGTCTGCCCATGCCCCTGATTTCCGTGGGCAGGAGTTACCAAATCCTTCTGCAGCCCTGCAGCCCCCTGCCCTCCCCATGCTCCCAGCCAGCCCAGACACTGGGTACTCAGGTGTCCCCTCCTTTGTGACAAGTGAGCATCTCCTCAACACACTGCTCTGATAGGACCATTTTATGGTATCACCATAAAGTCGGTGGGTGAGATTTTCCATCGCAATGGACTTTTAAACAGTGGAGTGAAAAAGAACATGATTTTGGCATTCCAGGGGGGCTCAGCTAAACCTCCCTGCTTATTAATGGCATTACATGACTTAATTAGGCTGAATGGTAGAGGGTTCAGAACACTGATTGTTGTCCACTTGTCCATCTATTAGCAGAAAAACAGGACTTTGGGGTGTTTAAATCCCTCCTGACCATCTGGATCCTCTGCAGCTGATTTTTCCAGCCCGGAGCCTCGGGCAGGGTGTGAAGCAAAGGCAGTTACAGCAAAACACCACAGAAGAGTCTTTTGGCTGTCCAGTGCTTCCCCTCTGCTGTCTACATATGTTAGACACTGTGGCAGCCTCTAATTAAACAGCCAATAGGTTTCTCAAGACCCCTTTACCTTTTAATTCCCCCTCATATGATATAAAATCACATCCTCTGTAATAGGAGTTGAGCCCAGCACAGTGGTAATCCCGACTGCCCACACACCTCCTGCCCAGAACCTTGCAGTCTACCTCCTGGATTCATACATGTACCTTTTGAAAGCCTAGAATAAATATCCAGAGGGAAAACTGCAGCTTGAAACCAGCCATAAAAGATCATATTCACTATAAAAGAACATAAAGATGGCATAAGTAATACAGTATTGTACAAAATAAGTGGCTAAGAGAGACAAAAATTACTTGCTGTGCCTAAAAATATGTTGCATTCTTCAGGAAATTGTAGAGCTAAGGAGGAATTGGTCATTCTCTCAGGAAAATTTAATTTACTGAAAAAACAAAATTGAAAGTAGAAGGAAAGTATTAAATCACTTGAACTCCAGCATTTAAAATATATTGATTGTTTTCCTGAGAAGCAGGTTGCTACTAGTCAGGAATTTATAATCATCCCTGTGTTGAGAAGGGATGGGCTGAGCTGATGCCCTTGCTGAGTTAT